GCGGTGTAAATTTGGGTTCTTTGTTCTCGGTCTGCCTGTTCTTTTTGCTTTTTTTCTTGCTCTTTTTGGGCTTGCTTTTGGGCGTAGTTTTCCCGCCGTTGTTGCTTCTTTTTCTCCTTGTTTTGTTGGTAATAGGTAGAAAAGTAAGGGCTACGATTTTTGTCTGGCTTTTCCATAACACATTTAATTATATTATATATTTTTGTGTTCCACACTGTTCCACAGGTGAAATCAACCGAACCATTTTTTTCTCTTTTCGTTTTAAAGTGTGGAACAAAGTGGAACAATAAAAATTATTGAATAAGAAAAAGTGCTTATAATTTACTTACTTTCTTAATCTCATTAACAATTTATCACCAAAGAAAAAAAGACAGGCGAAAGTAAAGCAAAAGTATAAAGAAAAGGGCATTTGGGGAAAGATTAATTGCTATGTAATTAGCAGTTAACCAAAAAGAGAAAAATTTCTATTTCTCTTTCCGTTTTTTCTGCTTGATTAGTTGTTCGATTAGGGTGGCTTTTTTGTCCTCCTCACGAACTTCTTTCATACCGGCGGCAATTTCGGTTAAAATGCTTTTGGCGTCTTGTTTTTTAGTAAAGGCTGCCCGAAAACTCTCAAACACTTTTTTGGCTACTCGGAATATCCAGGAAAAAAGGAAGAGAAATCATAAAAATATGAGAAATAAAATGCTATAATAGGTTCAACTTTTTAAATTACTTAGGGCTTTATTACAGGCTTGGCTTGCGGTTTGAATTTCTTTTTCCTTTCAAAACCAGCGGAGAGGCTTCTTGGCTCACTCGGGCAATTTTAAGGCTCCTAAACTAGCGTTCTCGGCTTCTAGTTCGGTAATCCGGTTTTGTTGTTCTTGAAATTGCGTTTGGGCGGTTTGTTTTTCTTGTTCTAATTCCTCATTTTTGGTTTGGTATTCTTGGGCTATTTCGGTTAATTGCTTTTTCTCCTCATTTCATTGCGAAATCATAGTTTCTCAATTTTCCCGATTAACCAAGGCTTTTTTATATTCGTCTTGGAGTTCTTTGTGGCGGGCTTTTAATTCACCTAATTCTAAACCTTCCGAACTAACCAAAAGGCGATTACTACTGCTTTCTACCCGCTTAATGGCTTCCACGGCGGCGGTTTCATATTTTTCAATCTTTTTTTCCAGTTTGGAAATTTCTTTTTTTAGAGTTTCTAGTTGGTTTTCTAATTCTTGGTATTTTTTACCCTTTTGGGCTAATTGCCAATTTTTAACATTATAGTTGAAGGGCTTTACTTGCTCCTCGAATTCTGTTCCCACACAACCAAAAAAAGTAAGTTTTTCGGCGGGCAAAAATTCTAAACCTCCTTTAATATTCGGTAAATTGGCAATACATAGAAATTCTAATTCTTTACATTTTTCCAAAGATTTTAAAGAAGAACTAGGGAAGCTGTTTTTATAATCATAATGATTTTTAGGAGAACTTACCATAGAAACCCCTTCTAATCCCAAATCTAATCTTTTTAACTTGGTTAAATGGGAGAAGATATTTAGGTTGTCAGTAATAAGATTGTCCGCTAATTGAATATTTTCTAAATTAATACACTTGCTTAAATCTATGCTAGTAATTTTACCACTCGCTAAATACAGTCCTCGTAAATTCACAAAATCTCGTAAATCTAAATGACCTTCCTTAATAGTTAAACGTAAGTAGTAAATGTAATTGTAGGAGCCTTTAACAACTGTTCCAATTTTCATAACTTCTCCCCTTTTTTCTTTTGGATAATTTCTATCCAACCATTCTTGGGCGTTTATCATAACCTTATTTTTCCTCCTGGCTATCTAACTCCACCGCATTTTTTACTTGTTGGAGCATGTGCGTAGAAAAGTTAGTAGCGAGACAATTATAACAAATTCCGAGGTTGGGAGAAATGAAAATTCAAAATCTTTCGGTTTTCTTTTTAGTTTCACATTTGATACAAAATCATTCTTTCGGTTGAAAAATTTTTTTCACGGCATAAATAAGGAGAATAATTATTAATCCTATTCCGCTAGCAATTAAAATTGCCTTTCAATTTTCAGTTAATAGTTTTTTTATTTTTTGTAATTCCATATTTTTTTTGTTGTTTTTGCGGGTTGTTTAGCGTCTATCCCGCCCGACTTTTTTTTTTTAATAAAACGCCCTTGGGCGTCGCGGGGTGGAGTTTGCCTTTTGGCTGGTTCGGCAACTACGGGAGGAGAAAAATTTTTCTCGGGTGGGTTAGGTTCGTCCGGATTTGGTTCTGGGGGCGGAAATTTCTCTGGCCTGCTTTGGCAAAAATAAGCCAGGACGAAAGCCAAAATTAGTAAAATAATAATCGCAGTTGCGGTTATTTCGGGGTGATTTTTTATTCAGTTAAATATTTGGTTTGACATATGTTGGTTTGCGGGTTGTTTTTTAGTCGCACCCGCCACGACTTTTGCTAGGCACTACAATTACGGCAAAGGGACATTACTCACTGGCCTTGGTCGTAGCATTTACGCAGGCAACGGAGATGGAAAACCCCGTCGTCGCAATTATCACATTGTTCCTCGTAGCCCGGTCTTATCCCTCGTCCGCAACGCGAACAAATTAGTTTCTTTTGGGGATTTTTCAACTTTTCCGAGCAACTACAACAAATAACACCTTTATCTAATTTCACTGCGTCTATTTTAATAAAACGCTGTTGGGTGGCTATTCGTTGACAACCTGGAAATTTATATTGACATTGGTTCTTTTTCATACTTAAAAATTGGGGTTTTGATAAGCCTGGCGATATTCGGTTAATTCGGCTTTTAATCGGGGCTTAATAGTTTGGTCCCATTGTTCCGAAGTTCCGTTAAACTCGGCGAGGAAGGTTCATTGGAGGCAGTGAAAACAGAGAAAATAATTATCCTCTACACCGCAATTTCGAACTCATTGAAATCCCTCTTGGCAGATAGCACACCGCCAATAAGTTCAAGTGGGGTTTAAATTAATAACTTGGTGTTTCATAACTTTTCTAGTGGGCTTTTTCTTTTTTGGGGGGTGAAATTTGCCGAAATATCCCCCAAACTGACTATCCGCTCGGGTGCCAATAACAACGAGCATTTTCCCGCTGTCAAGGTAAAAAGTAATCGCTTTCTCAACGATTTAAATAGGAATTGCGACTTCTAATCGGATCGGTGATTTGCGGAATAAAAAATTCTTGGGCTTCCGTGACGTCGTATTCTTCCTCGTAATCGTCTAAACTATTAAAAAAGCGGTGGGCGAGTTCGGCGTTCTCCGGAGTAAAAGTAAAACGCAGCACGGATTTAGTTTGAAAATGGCTAAATACGGATTTATCGCAAGTTCCGTTCTCTTTGGGTACTTGCTCTTTTTCAAGCGGAATTTTACTGAATTCGGCTTGGTGGCAAAAAGTCAACAAACTAGTAATTAAAAATTCTTGGAAGTCGTGAGTTAAAATTTTCTTTTTCCGGCGACCGAAAGATAATTTTAGGGCTTCCTTTTTTTTACTTTTTCGGGCTAATTTCGCTAAATTTCGGTAGTTTAAGGAAGT